TTCCTATCGAGGAACGGGTTGAGAGCGCGAAGCGTACTTTTCGCGTTGATTGGCGTTGAAGCGTTGATGGCCCTGTATTCATCTGCGTAGTGACGCCTCTGAGAAATAAGGATGCGACGACATTTCACCTGCTTTACTTCATCGGTGGTTATTTCGCCTGTCTCGTCACTAGCGGCCAACTTATGCACCGGATAAGTTTTTCGTAAAAATCGGAAAATTCGCGCAATCACTCTCATGGCTCGCAAGAAGTCTGAAAACCGCTCCAGAATGTCGATCTCCTCGGAGATGCCTGCCATGTGAGCCCGTACAATTTTTTGCTCCAGATCGGTTTCTAGTGGATTTATATTGGTTTGGTGGGGCCAGGTAGCTGAATCTTGCTCCAACCACTTACGTCCATACCACCACAGAGTGCTGGAGAGTTGATCCTGGGGGGATACGCCTCGGCTGTCAAGATCCACTGGATTATCCGCAGAGTCCACATGATTCCACCCGGATACTCCAACCAGTTCATAAATTTTTGCGACTCTGTTAGCCACAAACGTTGTCCATGTACATGCTGGTTTTCTGAGCCATGAGAGTACGATCGTGGAGTCAGTCCATGCGCATATTACTTCAAACTGTGGGATAAAAGTATTAATTAGTTTGGCCAGCAATAATGCTCCGCAGATCTCTAATCTGGGGAGAGACACCGTGTTTACGGGTGCTACTTTTGTTTTACTTACCAGAAAGTTTATGTGGCGCGCATTAGTTGAAGACCGCTGGCGTACCCTGATATATAAAACGGGTGCGTTTGCCTTTATGGAGGCATCGCAGAATCCATAGAACTTCACTTCGTCCCATGACGTAAAATGGGTCCATCGGGGGATTTTTATCTTCTGAATATACTCATAATTATCCAGAAAGGTTTCCCAACGTAGCATCAAATTTCGGGGTAGACCGTCAGCCCAGTCTATTTTGGTTAGCCAGAAGCCCTGCATGAAGATCTTTGCTACCACTACAATTGATCCGAGCCATACAGCAGGATCGAACAATTTTGTCACGCAGGATAAAACCTCTCGCTTGGTATACTACTGCTTCCGGGGGATCGGCTGTACGGTAAAGTGAAACAAGTCATGTACCGCATTCCAACGGATTCCCAAAGTTTTTGTCTCACTCATGTCGTCAAGCTCCAAGAAATTCTCCTTGTNGGTAAAGTGAAACAAGTCATGTACCGCATTCCAACGGATTCGCAAAGTTTTTGTCTCACTCATGTCGTCAAGCTCCAAGAAATTCTCCTTGTATATGTGCGCCTTGGGTAGTCCTGTCAAAATCTTCTTGCAATTCGACGTCCACTTCCTTAGGGGGAAGCAGGCGGTGTTAGGAGCTTCAATTACCTTATCTCGCATTTGTATTGCAGTTGTGCAATCGTGGACTCGGGCCAGGACGTCATCAACATACATATACTGCTTCAAAATCTTTGCTGCCATTGNTCTTCTTGCAATTTGACGTCCACTTCCTTAGGGGGAAGCAGGCGGTGTTAGGAGCTTCAATTACCTTATCTCGCATTTGTATTGCAGTTGTGCAATCGTGGACTCGGGCCAGGACGTCATCAACATACATATACTGCTTCAAAATCTTTGCTGCCATTGGAAATTTCGTTTTCACATCATCTGCGAGCTGGTGTAGAGTCCTTATTGCCAAATATGGAGCGCAGTTTACTCCAAACGTCGCGGTCTTNAGAAATTTCGTTTTCACATCATCTGCGAGCTGGTGTAGCGTCCTTATTGCCAAATATGGAGCGCAGTTTACTCCAAACGTCGCGGTCTTAAGTTCGTAAACCTTAAGTTCTTCGTCCGGGGATTCTCTGAAAGGAATTCTGTGAAATGGGGTATGCTCCTGATAGAGAATAATTTGCCTATACATCTTCTCGATGTCTGCATTGGGGCCAAATGTGCTCTTTGATTTGCTCCGGCTCTAAAATGGGTAAAAACTGCCCCAATTTATGGCAAACCTTGATTTAAGTTATTTGGCTTATTCACCTGGGCGTTTTATGCAATAATTTGCACCCAAACTGAAATGAGTTTTAACAACGTGCTGTTGAAATGTGTTTTAGTTCTTTGGTGATATTTTTATTTTTCTTTGGGTTTGTTCGGAAAAGTCAAATTGGTGGCGGTATTCACCAATGAATGTAATAAAAAACCAAAGTTGGTGGCGGTTTTCACCATATGAGCGCAATATGAAAACTTTAAGATATGTTTAATTGCACACGATTCGACGTGTGCGAGATAATAAAAACGAGGTAACGGTGGGTGCAATAAAAGTTCTTCTTTTATGAAGGCAACTTGGCAGTTTATCAAAATATTTATTTCTTTGAATTTTTTTTTCCCTTATATTTTATTTTTAAGCAAATGTGGGTCAACCATGAAAAACTTTAAGCCTATACGGCTCAAAGGACCATGTTCGGGACGGGGTTAAATTGGGGGCCGGGAATTCCTCTTGAATTCCGCGGAAAACGAGGGTTGAGGAGGTGCCGAATCCCTGAAGGCCTTCGAGGTTGAATTAAACGGCAAAAATTCGCTCAATAAAATTAAATGAAAAACTTCACTTTTCACTAATATATATATATATATATATATATAGATATATATATATGTATCTATATATATATGTAAGAGCCTAACGGCCACTTTATTGCATATGTATATATGTATATACAAAAAATCCTGCAATAGAGGTTATATAAGAATAGATTGATGATTAGAGGACCTTACTTGTTTGCTCGGAGTTCTCTTCCAAAGTGGCAGAGTGTTGGGCGATCGAAGAAGGGGAAACCCAACATCCGAGGCGGGTAACAGGACTCGAGAAAAAGGAACTCGAGTAACGATAACTGTTCCCGCTTAGATCACAGCGACATCTGCAAGTGAAATACTCTAATTAATAAACATACTTAAGGTGAAGGGGGCTATATTTCGAGTTCTTCGCTACGGCACTTATAACGCCTATATAGACACTGAACTAAAAGTAGATACTTTACAAACTGTTAAAATCTGCAATATCTGACATATTTGAATTGACGTAAAAACTCGGATTACGAATCCTGAGAGAGAATACACCGTCTGCCCGGTACCAGTTTTGCCGTTTTGATACATATGTATCCATTTGAGGGATGCTTCGTTTTTTTCCTCAGTGTAAATTTGGATACCTTTTCCCATAAGTAATTGTCAGTTGAGGGACGTTTTTTTTTAGTTATGTACGAGCTATTATAACATTTTTAGGAGTTGGCTGCTCATCCTCCAAGAAAGAAATTTTCCCTTATTCTTGTCACTTTGAAAAATTAAAATTTTAGCTACATAAACGTGCATTTAATAACACCAATTAGTTTGCAAATTTTAAAAAAATTTCCGACCTGTAGTAGTTAACTGTAATATCAAGAAATCAAATTTTACATCCCGAGAAACCCTTCCCTTCACAGTCAACCATGCCGACGAATAATTTTGAGCTATAACTTGACTGCACTAAAACAACTTATAACTTCCAAATTTTCAGTTATATGTCGTTAAGCGGGAATTCAAATAGACATTTTTCTTGAAGGCGGAATTTACAGACAAATACAAGTTTTTGAGAATTTTTTTTAATTTCATAGATAGCTCCCAATCTAACAGTTTGATTGAAAAAATATTGTAACTATAATAGCAGGAAATAACAATTTAGTGAACTAAATGTAACAGGCCAAAATTAGTTTAAATTAGTATTATTTTGTTAGACTAGGAAACATTTTTTCATGTATTATTTTTGGGAATCTAATCATAGTAATAAACACCGAACATGCGGAAACTTTGGCCCGTAGTTGAAGTCAGTATTTTCCCATTCTTAGAAACAGATCTGGGAAACAAAGGCCTGCAGTTATAGGTAAAATTAAGTCGACACTTAAGTTAGTTTCAGCTTTGTTGACAGGTATATCATTGAAAATTATGTCAAACAGCTGCAATTAACTTTAGGGTCGATTTAATTTTGACTATAACTGCGGACCGTGTCTAAGAATGGGAAAATACTGACTACATGTTAATAAGTTTTGTTATGGGGCCGAGTTTGTTTTCCATAGATGTACCGTATAAAAATGTCCGCTCTTTTGGTGGATAGATTTGGATACAGTTTTCAATTTTTTATGGATACTTTAAAGGCCGCGGCAGTGGCAACACTGCCCGGTACAGCTTCTGTACTCCCGCGCGCGTTGAAGAAACTAATCGACTTAGTTGCCCATTTCCATTCGCTTACGCGTCATTTGCATTAGGAGTGGAGCTTTTCTAAGTAGATATTAATCGAAAAAGAATAACATGAAGGTATCGAAAATAGACTGAGATCACTAAAGCCAAATAAATTTTAGTTAACACTTGTACAATGATTTTGATTTTTGATTTTAATATATTACCAAATTCTACTAAAAGTTTCTGGACCTAAAAAAGTGCTGGATAATTTTGAAAAGAGCTAAACAAAGGTTGGAGCTAAATAAAAAATAAAGAGCAAAATCTAGCCCCAAAAGCTCCAAAAGGGCCAAAATGGCAACACTGGTTACAATTCAGTTTCTCAATACCAACTCCAGCAAAGTGTTGAGCAACTTAGCTTACATATAATGAAGCATAAATGCATACATACATACATCCATACTAATTACATGCATTCATATTCTGTTTGCTGCGTTGCCATACTCTATAAGCTGTACGCTGTGCGGTGTACGAGTATCTTGGAATTGGCTTGAATCACTTCGGCATTTTATGGCCTAAATCCATGTAGGCCTTGAGGAGTCGTAGCGCTCACAGTTCAGTTCATCGCTCGAAATGAAGCGCGCGCGCAACTGAACGGAAAGTTAACGAGCGTTTGGCTACGTACATATTTATGTATGTACATATGTGGAGACGGTGAGCAGTGTGGGGCGTGCGGCTCGCGGCGGAACGCACAAGCGGCAGTGATGGCGGTGCACTATTCCGATTTCCCGACTTTGTGAATTGCTCGCACGGCAGCGGTTCGCTCGGTCGGTGTTGCTGGTTTGCGACATGGTGAGGTGGGCAGCATGGTTTGGCATCGTCGCTGCAACAAAGCAGCCCAGCAACGCTTGACGCTACACACCAGCCATGGACCCGCTTGCCGCTACCAGTGTGTTTTCGGATGCGGACGTTTTTGCACGTTTGTACGGTCGCTCGTTCGCTCACTTATTTGTCTGTCCGGTCCTCCGTTTCGTTTTTATTCTAATTTTTTTTGTGTTCACATCGTGCGCTGTTCTTCTTCGATAGCAAGTGATTCTTAGAGTTCCTTAGTTTTGTTGTATGCATAATTGACGTTGTTTTTATTGCAGTGTTTGTTGTTAGCTAGTTATCATTGCATTTGCTTTAGAGCTAGTCGTGTTTTTAGTTGCACTTATTGGTTCCAAGTCTTATATTTGCATTGTACATTAATTTCGGTAAGCAGTCTGCAGCGGAACACGCCGCGGGGTACGTCGGAAGCGCGTTACGGGTTCTGCTCTGTCAAACAGGCACTTGACTTCGTCGTCATATCGTCACCCCTGGCAGGAGCTGCTGTTGCGCCATACGGTTTTGTCGGTAATTTCTGCGACCTACTACTACTACTACTACTATAAAGAAGCAAAAACAATTCACAAAACTAACAACCAGTAGAACAAGCAAAGATTATAGCAAGAGAAGCAATAACCAATCTACCGATCAACCGAACGACCGACCAATTTAACCGAAACTCATTAAATGCACTCTGGTAGTGCAGTTCGGCGCAATGCAACACAAAAATGGATGTTGCAGTGTGTGCTGGGTGTGGGCGGGGAGCTGGAATCGCCGATGATGAACTACGCAGAGTGTGCGGCGGTGCGAGAGTGCACCTTGCCATATCACAAAATTGACTAGGAATTGCGAAACAAACACAAAATTAAAGAAAAAAACAGAAACTCAAAAAATAACGACAGTAAAAAATGAAACAAACAAATCAAATGCATTGGGGACTATCCCAATTGCATGCGAGTTCTCTATTTACATGTGTGTGTGTGAGCGTATGTGTGTGGCATTCATGGTTACCTATGAATATTATATGAAATAGAATTGAAGGTATCGCAACAAATTGAGCAAGCCCAAAAAGATGCGTAGATACACATTGGCCAGTTTTTGTACTACATATGTATATACATACATATATTAGGGTGGTCCAAAAATGCATGTGAAAAACTAAAGTCGGAATTTTAACGCTCTCATCCCTAGTATTGTTGTATATCGGAAAATAGTTTTTATTTTGAAATTAAAAAATATTTTGTTTTTATATGGAAGAATTAGTTTTTCTTAGAAATGTTATAGAATTCTTGAAGATCAATATTTTAGATCTAAAAACTCTGTTTCTCTTCAGGAGACTTCCAATATTAATACCCTATTGTTTATTTTACCATGTTTTAATACTAACGATTTTTTTGCATTTTTGGGGTTTTGGGGGACCTATACAAATAGTTACGATTAAAAAGTGGATAAATGAACAATTGGGTATTATTATTGGAAGTATCTTGAAGATAAATAGTGTTTGAGCTCTTTGAGCTGTTCCCAAAAATTTTTTGATTTCAAAATAAAAAGACAAGGGTATACAATTTTTTCCGTATGGAACATTCCTAGGGGGTGAGAGCATTAAAATTCGGACTTAACTTTTTTACGGACCACCCTAATGTGCATACATATGTTATTTGTAATTAAGGTGAGTACATATGTACATACATAGGTGTAAGTTAAGTGTAAAAAATAAAATAACTACATAGTCTAAACATTTTGGGCTACTCACTAGTATGTTTGTGCGTTTGAAATCTGGGATTATCTACTTGTTCAGTTGGAATTGCAAGCAGACCTACTTAAATGCTATGTGCCGGAGAGGTTTTTTTCGGTACTAGTTATTGATTTCGGGTTGTGTAAAACGATTTTTTCTTGAGAATTGTTTCCTTGCAGGAAAGTTATGAAGATCACCTCAAAGATATTTTTGAGCAAAAGAAAAAAACGAAGCAGAAAATATTTCGAAAAGCATTTTCATTTATTAGTTGTAATCATTGCCAGAGACTGAATTTTTCTTAGGAAAAAATAAATATATGCTTTTTTTAATATTCGGCAAAATTCCTCTCGGATTCATTCCTTAACAAAGTTTAAAACTAATTAGGTCGTTTGGTTATGATGGCGAACATATGTGAGCTGAGCTGAATGGTGTTGAAAATACCCATATAAACACGTTTTCTATATGAATAAAACTTGCTAAGGAAAAAAGTGAAGTCGGAATTTTAATACTCTCAGCCCCTGGGATTGTTCTATACCGAATAACATACCGCTATATTTTGTATACATATTTACATAAAATGACGTTTCACTACTTGTTTTGTCGTAGAATACGTCTTACGTTTCCATATGGAGGCTATGCTCAAACGTTGTAGTTGTACAGCTTCACGAAAACGCTGATTGCACGAGAACTTACCCTGCAAAAAATTGTGCGACTAATCTCTAAAGAGAGTATACCGAGATTACTCTCAATCAGGTACAATTGGGCATAAATTAGTCGCAACTAGTCTCATACGGGTACTATTGTGGATCATTTAGTCTCGATTCATCCATCACGGGTATATTTGGAGATCAATTAGGCCCCGACTCATCTCTAACGGGTACTATTAACGATTTAATGATATGTACGCACTTTGTTAATGAAATTTCATGTGCGGCGCTGGCACATAGAGAGAGTATTCGCTTAACAAAACTGAGAACACCGGTTCGAATCTCAGCTGGCGCAAATTTTTATTTTTATTTTTTAAAAGTGACTAGTCGCTTTTTATACCCGTTCGGGTATAAAGGTGAACAATTAGTCTCTTCATAGGATATGCTCGAACAAAAGCGATCAATTCATTCCATATAAAGAGATCAAAAGTGGTATTAGTCGCATGCTCCTTTGCGATTGCTCCCGGAGTCATCCCGGATTAGTCGCATTTTTTGCAGGGTATGAAGCGATTTCAAACAAAAGTGTGGCGTCTCGAAGATAAAATTCCCAGCCTTTCGACAGATTAATTTTTGTAAGTAACTAATTTGGTTTTTGTCGTAGAAACAACGGTAAATATTGCCATATTTTGGCGTCACTTCGAGCCTTTAAAGTGCTCTAGCAACTTATGATTGGCAGATATAACTTTCAGTTTCGGGATAAATGTAGGTTCTCTGGAGTAATAGAAATATTATCGTGTACAAATTTTATATAAATTCAACTAATATTGAGCGTTTTAAGGCAACAAATTGTTGAAAAAATTAGCAGATTCCCGATAATAATACCCAATTGTTTATTTAACCATTTTTTCATCGCAACTATAAGTTATAGGTCCGCCAAAAACCCACAAAAACCACGAAAAATGCAACGGACGGACCATTAAAAAATCGTTAGTTTTAAAAAATGGTTGAATAAACAATTGGGTATTATTATTGAAAGACTCTTGAAGGGAACCAGAGTTTTTTGATCGAAAAATTTTGATTTTCAAGAATTCTATACCATTTCTACGAAAAGTTGTTGTTTCCCATATAAAAATAGTTGGAAAACTTTGAGCGCTTTGAGCGACCCCCAAATGTTTTTTGATTTCAAAATACAAAAATAGGGGTATACTTTTTTCGATACAGAACAATCCTAGGGGGTGGGAGCATACAATTCCAATTAAGGTCCCATTTGCGTTCTAGAGATATTTGATTTTTGTACAATGTCTATGAAGATAATACTGTATGTTTCGCTTTAAATTTGGTGTGCGGGTTTATCTGAGAATAAACCATTGGAATATTTATAAAAGCATTTTGAATAAAAATGATTCTCTTAATTTTATTTAGAAATTTCCGTTGGGATTCTCAATATAACCGTACGTCATGCGGACTGCGCCCCTCGTACGGATGGGCGGAAACGGAGGGTAAAAACCGTTGGTTTTATTATTATTATTATTAATATTATTATAACACACACATGTTTTCCACAGAAACGGTAATAAGAGAAGCAGCATCTAAAGTGAAGGCGTCTAAACATTGTCATAGGTCGTTTCAAAATTCTTAACTCTACAAATGGTAATACATGCACACTACATGCATACAAACGTACATAGTAGCAACTGCTTTATGTGTGCGCAATACACGCTCGCTTCATACATACCCCGTAAGAAAGATTAAGTAGTATAAAAATTTCAGGAAAGCTGTATTTTACTCGTAACCTAAAGCAACAAAAGACCAAATGTTGTTTTTTACAATATTTTTGGATATAAAATTTACATGGCCGATCCTAAAAAAAATTAAAATATTGTTTAACAGATTATTTAGTAGTAACGAAAAATTTAATTAACTCCAGTATCGCCAATGCCATGCCGCACACGTTCTTCGTTTGTAACAACACGCAAAATTTTAAGCACATGTTTATCATACAGGCAGATGAGATTTGAATTGAAAGTTGTTCAATAAACTACAACAAAATTTTGCTTCCGATTTTGCTGAAAAATAAATAATAAAATAACATTTGAACATTTTTAGCACTTAGTATAAAAATTGGCAAATTTTGAATTACAAAAATGGGTTTTACTTTTATTTTAATAAAAAGGTTACGTAACACTGATGGTAAAAACGCATAACTAAGCCCACAACCACTCATGAGTTTATGAGAACTTCGATACATAATATGGATGTCTCATACTTAATATATAAAGGTTTTATGTATGAAAGAAATGTTATGAAAGCATTTACAAACGCGGTAGTTAGATCCTTCTTCAACTCGATATTCCTGCAGTCATAACATAAACATAACATATGGATAGATACATCCATACATATGTACATATATACATATCCTGCGGGGAGTGACGTTAGCTCATACCTAACTGTATATTTTGTTCGAAAAAGTCTTAGTACTTTTTTTGGCGATGACCGCAAAATAGTCAGATTTGGATACCTCTGCATTACATGTCAACTAACTACTTTTGAACATGAAATATTAATAAAAACGATTTTGTTATTTTTATTTTTTATTTTTATTTACTTAAATTATATTTAACATTGCATATTTGTTCACATATTCTGCTATAGGTGGTCCCATATTCGAATTCCGTCAGTCATAACATCAAATATAAAATTTCGATCTTCATTTCATTTGTCTCGAATCGGAAAAAGTATTTGTGAAGTGCAGAAAAAAGTGCATTCGTAGTATTTTTTGTATGATGTTGAATATCCTAATAATAAAAACTTGTTTAAAGAAAACACACTTCCGATTACGCCTGCTTGACTCCTGCGTGACTTTACAACTCGCTTTAAGTTGGTTGTGTCATAGCCAATTAAAAGTTAGGTATTAATCGAAATCGCGTAAAAAAACCTCACTACAAGTTCGTTATTTTTAACAATTTATAATTTTTCACTGCAGGGTATGTTCATCCATGCAAGCGGACGTGTAGATACACAAACAGATAAATTTTACAAACTACCCTGTGGGGAAAATCTCTAGTTCTGAACTGGGGCGCTTCTAGTACATATAGACCCAGTACTGGTCGCGATAAATCTCTTTTGCATGCAAGCAACTGGCG